TATATATATATATATATATATAATTTAAGCAACTCTTCACTCTAATTTAGTATTTTTTTTTCATTCTTTTTACACATTTTAAATAGGTTTTATTATTTCACAATTTCTATTTAGATGTCACAATTCTTAAATGGGTCACTTGTACACATAACACCTCAAATACTACAGTTCAACTCAACAATGCTCGATATCAAAGTCTAAATAAATGTATAATTTAGATAAAGATAAATTTGTATTTTCTAATCATGGACATGAAAAAAATAAATAAAATCAGCAAAGTATCAGATTTGGATATTATATGATAAGGAGATTTGAAATATTTTACAGCAATATAGATTTATAATTTAGGTAAAGATAATATAATATTTGATTATAATATCCAAGATTAACTCACTGACACAGCTATCTTAAATTACTAAATAGTAATGTATATAAAATTTAGGACTCTTTATAAAATAAATAAATTTTGATTTTAATTTTTAAAATTTTAAATTTTTTATTCTTTTAAAACTTGTAAATATTATTTTTGGTATTTGTGAAATGAATAATTTTTTTTATTTTAATTTCTGTAGTATGTTTTACTTCGATTTTTATTCTTTTAAAATTTAAAATCATTATTTTTATTATAAACAATTATTTTAAAAATAGATAAATAATAATTATTTTAAAGATTTATACGAATTTTCAGAAAGGTCAAACATATAATATCATAATAGTCGTAAATAATACTTATATAATCACTTAACATTTTAATAAACAAAAGGTAGTTAAAAATAATCATATAAAAATAAAAATAAAAATTAAAAACAATAGTTCCAATTTTAGAAGATGAAAAACAAAAAATATATTTTACAAGAACCAAAATCAAAATTAGCTAATTTATATGAATTAAAAATATATTTAAATAAAATTTTAATATTTGATTTACCTACATAATATCTTATTGATCTATATAAGAATATAATATCTGATTGATGCAACTACCTTAGACTTTTAGTTATTTAATAATTATATATAAAGAGATTAAATGACTCCAAAAATAATTTATGATAAAATTACTTTACTTAATAACTCATAATATATTTTAATTGAGGATTTGAGTATATGTATATGTGTGAAAGAACAAATTAAATTTGAATTATTAGATAAAAATGATAGTGATGGATTGACACTTCTAATAAAGAATAATTCATTTGATTCTTAATACAATAGTTCTTTTGATTTTGATTATTTAGTATATATTAGATCAATTTATTTTCATTTATTGAGAGCTTATTTGAACAATTTTTATAATATAAAAGCACTTTTTTTCTTTTTATTTGAATCACAACAATTGAAACATTTAAACAGGAGATGGAATGAATAAAAGAAATTGTATTAGTGAACTAAAAAAAATTAAAACAACAATGTTATAAAATATTAATAGAATGAATTACTATGACAAGATATTAAAATTACTTGATTATAAATTTTTAATTAATATTACATTTCAAATAGTTATTAGAATAAAATAAAAATTAATAACTTCTACTCAAATGGCTAGAGAGAAAAAACTGTGGGTTGTATCAAAGAAAATTCAAGGGGAATTATAAGCCTATTAAGTCAATCCAATCCTTCATAATCTCGTTCCATACTAATAATTTCTCAAGCAACACCAAATATGAATATGTTCGGATTAAAGTTACAAAAGTAATTTTGAGAATTATAATGTATATATACTTTATACTTTTCATTACAACTAGCATTTTGTCTAGTTGGATTTTTCCTAAAGGGTGTCACATATATTTAGGAAAAATAGAGATAAACAAACTGTTGACGGTAATAGAAAATGTAAGATATATGAAGTTAAAAAAAATATTTATGTGAATGAAAAGTATATATGGTATATTATTTTCATTCCCATCAACAAAAGTTACTAAAGTTCAAATTGTACGCTAAATTTATATTATTATTTTTATTTAAATAATAAGATAAAAATTGATGTTAAATATACTTTTTTAATATTTCTATGTTTTTAATTTTATTTTTACATATGAATCTTAAACAAATAATATAATATTATGTATTTATAACTAATTTTTAAATAAAAAATTTTAAAAATCACAAAAATTAATCAAATTATATTGCAAAAAATTTATTTTACCCTCCAAAAAAAATTATCAAGCATGTTGAAAATATAAATATTATTGTTAGTACTAACAATTGAATATTATGCTAAGTGAGTGATACTTTGAGCTCATTAATGATGTCTTTGATTACTTGTTCTTTATGAATAAATGCATATTTATATTAGAGTAATATAAACAACTATCTTGAATAAAAACATTATATTGGACCAATCATGTGGTCTTTATTAATGGTCATATTAAGGAGAAAAACTGTAACGACCTGGCTGGTCACTACACCCGGCATAGCACACTAGAAACACCAGACAAATAGAACAAGTATATAAATATAGGATCTAGAATATATAGATATACAAGGTTCCAGTCTGACTAGAGTTAAAGTGTACTAAAGAAAATTACAACCAAATGCTACTATCCCAAGTAGCCGTAATAATCGAATTTGAGTCATTACATACCTAATCAATTTTCATACTACTAAACTACACCTTGATTTAAGTTAATTGAAGCCATATCGAGTTAACATAATATGAATTTTATTATATCTCTTCCAAGCATCATACAAAGATTCAACGTCTCTTTCATACAAAGTTGTTTTCTCACTTTTTGTCTTTAGGAACATTGAATTAGGAAAAATCTTGGTGAAGAACCTTGCTTTAAAGTCATCCCATGTGTTGATACTTCTTATAAGCGTAGATTGCATCCCTACCTTGAACCTTGGCGTTGTTTCTAAGAGAGAAGGGAAATAAGCACAATTATAACGTCATCACCAATTTCATTTATGCAAACAATGCTACATATTTCCAAAAAGCTAAATAATGTATCAATGTTCGGATCATTATCTTTATTATCTTAAGGCTTGTGCAGACTGCAGAGTCCTCGCGATTTAGTTTTTTTTTTTTATATTTCTGAATGTAATTTTTAAAATAAAGTTTATCATTATCATCTTTATTATTATTATTATTATCGAGATTGTCGCTAATAAAATACTTTTACACGTTATTTATTGTTGTTATCACACAAGCATCTTCTTTATTTTGTTCAGATTAAAAAAATTAAAGGAATATATATATATATATATATATATGTATATATATATATATAAAATAAGGTAATTAAGTCTTATCAGTAGTATATTTTTTTCTTAGTATTCTGATTATTATAATAATATATTTTCTGTTTCCTTTTATTGAAAAAAAAAAATACATGACTCTTACATAATTTTTTTTTCTTTTATATTATTAAGAAACTAGTCGGGGATAGGAAGAACATATTTTTCATCTTTCCTTCCTTTCCTTTTGCTTAGCTTCTTTCTCTTTTCACCAATTCTAAACTTAGCTTTTAATTTTAATCAGACAGAGAACATTTAAAGTGGGTTTATAAGTTGGTTCTATTAACTAATCTAAGAAATAAGGATAAGATTTTAATTTTCAGGCTGGTTGGTTAACTAAGAATGACACAACGAAAGAAGAAAAATTTGTGTGATTGGTATTGTTGCCTCCCATAACATAGTTTATTATGCTTAGTGCAGATGATATGCATGTGCCTTTTATTAGGTGTTAGTTTTATTGTTTATTTTTTCCAATGATAAAAAAAGTTGTTTGCAAATATAAGTCGCCCATATATATATATATATATATATATATAAAAGTTAATCACTTATATAATAATAGTGTAATGTTTTTTTACATTAACAACTAATTATATATTTTAATTGTGTTATGTCATTATTAAAAGTAAATGTATTTATAGTGACATGACACAATTAAAATATATAATCAGTTGCTAGTGTAAAAAAAACTTTACACTGACAGTGTATAGTTGATTAATTTTTTTTCTCTATATATATATATATAATAAGCGATCCGTT